CCGCCTACTTATGACGTCGGAAGTCCCCTTGAAGTATTGCTCGTTTCACGTCTTCAAGCGAAAGGCATGACAAGTCACAATTCAGGTTGATGATGAGCGAGGACCATAACTCAGGAAGCAAGACCAACATCTTGGTCTTCTTTTTTAGCTCACTATAGTTGAGATCGGCTCTTTCAAGCCACGTCAACAAGTCGAAGAATTTCTGCACCCTTTCTTCAACTGGTTCATCATCTTCAATACGTAGCGCCGCCATTTGCCGCTCCGGCACCACCGCTACCGCCGCTGTTGCTGGAGCATGCACACCCTTGAGAGAAACCCATGCCTTGGGTCCCTTCTTTGGTTTATGCTGAAAAGGTTTGATGTGATGGATCTGGCTGCTCCCCAATGCTTGTCCAAGTAGGAGATAGCCTTGTGTGCTTTTCTGCAACCACGGGCTTTTCTCCAGGTCGTCCTCAGGGCATTTCTCCATTCCTTCCATCACCTCTAGCAGGTCATAACAATTGAAGAGGTTCTGTATTTTGAAGGACTGTCAGAGGTCCACTGGTGATCCCCGATTGATCCTAGGGAAGGGTTACAGGCATGTTGACCTGGGGGGTTATGGGCGCACTGACCCGCTACTTAGCAAGCCCTTTTAACCCAATGGTCTAGCGGTTGGGATTCTGACATGGTATTAGAATGAAGGTCTCGGGTTCGAATCCCAGTGTGTGCACTTCGGGCATCCCAGTGCGAGGGGTTGTCAGAGGTCTACTGGTGATCCCCGATTGATCCTAGGGAAGGGTTACAAGCATTAGGGGGTTATGGGCGCACTGACCCGCTACTTAGCAAGCCCTTTAAACCCAATGGTCTAGCGGTTGGGATTCTGACATGGTATCAGAGCGAAGGACTCGGGTTCGAATCCCAGTGTGTGCACTTCGGGCATCCCAGTGCGGGGGGGTTTCAGAGGTCCACTGGTGATCCCCGATTGATCCTAGGGAAGGGTTACATGCATGTTGGCCTGGGGGGTTATGGGCGCACTGACCTGCTACTTAAATGTGCAAAAAATGAAAGACATATTGTGAAGTAAGTTTTTTTGCAGAGATGCTTCAAATGTAGATAGCGGACTGGTCATATCTTCAAACGATGTTCTAAAGATTTGATATGGAGCAAGTTAAGGTCATCTACAATAGGTAAGTTGAATCACTTGATTTGATAAAGAACTGACAGCGTGATAGTAGTTTGAGCGAACGACGGTCTAGCAGCAACTTTAGTCTTAGAGTATATGATAGGAAGAAGTTCGAGTTGGGAATGATCCCCAGCCTCTGCAAACCCCAAGAGCTGAAAGGTGTGGAAACCACCCACCACAAGGGTCTACACCAAGAATGATGTTACATTACACAATGCAAGGTAACTGTTTTTGTTATCTTGATGTTTAACGTCATGGTGAGTTTTGAATTCATTAAACCAAGGCACTGGGTCTTCACTATAGAACTTCCTTGAGTTTTTGGAAGCTTGCTGCACACACCTGCTATACGCCGAACGTTACGACACAAGACAAAACGGAAAACACAGACGAAACGCAAACGACGATGTGACACGCGACTCGTGAAAACTCGCTATTGACTCGACACATACGTTCGACACCATGACTCATCGTTCATACACTTTTATGAGCATGACTTAAATATTATCTCATGTTCTCATACCTTTCCATGCAAGCACACATACGTGCACATACAAGGACAACAAGCCGAGTGTAAGCCATGGGGTTGCACTAATAAAAACACTCCTTCGGGAACGTGACCTGGCTGAAGTGGACAACCTCGGCCAAAGGGAGAAGGTCACTGAGCGCGAGACGAGCAGTGGCGTCATGGGACTCCCAGACTGAATACTCCAAGTGCCGCATAGAAAACGTATCCCGCTCTGCCTCAGTGGGCTCAGCACCTACGGATGTGGGACGCGACGGGGCTGGCAGGCCACCCAACGTGTGAGCGTACAATGTGTCCTCATCCTAGCGCTGACTCTGAAGGTACAGCTTGGCATTCAGCAGCCAGGTGCTAAACTCTATTGCACGGCCCTTTACGTCGAAACGTAGAACTCTAGCGGACAACATGGCTAAAGGAACAAGCTAGAAACAGATGGCTAAGAAAGGCGGGCTAGGAACGCCAGGCTAGGCGCGACAAGGTAGGAACGGCAGCTAGGAACAGCTATCTAGAAAGGGTCAGCTGGTAACTGCAGAATAAGAACGGCAGACTAGGAACTAATATGAAACCCTAGCCAGTGCCGGTGAGAGGTAGTGTGGCTTCCAACCGCTGCTGGGCGTGCCAATGGCGGAGAGGTGGTGGTTTGGTGGCTAGCAGGGCGCGTTGTTGATGGGACGCGGGGTGGCAAGGGGCGCGAGCTACTGCTGGTGGGTCGTGCGTTGCTGGCAAGGGGCGTGCACTGCTGCAGGTAGGAGCGTGCGCTGCTGGCAAGTGGGAGGGGGGCGCACTACTGCTGGTAGGGGGGGGTCGCTGCTGCTGACAGGGGGGGGGCGCACGCTGTTGCTGGTGGGGGCGTGCATTGCTGGCAAGGGGCGCGCGTTGCTACAGGCACGAGCGCATGACTGGCAGGGGGCGCATGCTGGTGTTAGGGGCAAGACGCACAAGGACCGACACCCCCTCCGCCACCCCCACCTCTACTACCGCCACCACCACCCTTCCCACCTTCCTTACCTCCCTTGCCTCGTTTCTGCCAACCAGCGGCAGAAACAGCTGCAGTCTTCTCTGAAACGGATGACGCTGCAGTGGCAAGAGAAGTAGTGAAGGTGGGAAGCTGGGGCATAAGACACCCCTCAAAGAGACAGGGAGTACTGCTGCTGTAGTAGAGGCAACAGAGAGGGTTACTCTCCATCTCCAACAGAGGAGAGTGCTCTCAAAGAGATTGATCGTAAGCTCACGGGGGTGCTTCTGAAGAAGCGCGTCGCGGGCAGACGAAAGGCGGTCAGGAAGGCAGTGGAAGGAGTGGAATAACGTGCAACAATGGCGTCATAACAATCCTTCGCAGACTCGACCTAGGAGAAGTGGGCGGCCTCAGTCAGTGGGAGGTCTATCTGTGCGAGGCAGACAGTGATGTTATTGGAGTCCCAAACAGAGTGCGTAAAGTGCAGCCTGGTAAAATCCGCAAGCTGCTTCGCAGTGGGCGGGGACTCAGTAGGCAGCTGCAAGGACGCTGAGGGGCAGGCAGAGCGTCGGACGCGTGAGCCCACAGAGTGTCATTGTCCTGATGCTGGCTCCTAAGGTACCACTAGGCCTGGCGGAGCCACGTGCTAAATTCTATGGGACGACCATCTTCATCGAAACGCAAAGCTCTTACGGATGCCATAAGAAACGCTCGGAACAACCGGGGCTAGTAGTGGCCGGAGCTAGGAGTGGCCGGAACTAGGAGTGGCCGGAGCTAGGAGTAGCCTGAGCTAGGGGCGGCCGAAATGAGACACGCCCAGAGCTAAGGACCGCTGGAAGTGGGAGCGGCTGGAGGGCTGGGAGTGGCTGGAGCTAGAAGACTGCTAGGAATGCCAGGTTAGGACATGGAACGGTGGCTGGGAATGTCAGGTTAGGACATGGAACGGTGGCTAGGAACGGTGGGTAGGAACATGCCAAAAATCCTAATAGGGGCCAACGAAGCGGTGATGCGGCTTCCAGCCGCTACTAGGAGGGCCGCCTCTGAGAGCAAGACTGTACGGCTGCCGGCACTGGCAGGGAGGTAAGTGCAGGCGCGTGCAGGGCGCTAGTGCCTGCGGGCTGCTGTGATTGGTTGTGGGCGGTTGGGAGCGGCTGTGGGTGGCTGTGAGTAACTGTGGGCGGCTGTGAGCAGATGTGGGAGGCTAGGAGCGGGTGTGGGCGGGCGTGGGTGGCTGTGGGTAGGTGTGTGCAGCAGGGAGCGTCTGTGGTTGGCTGTGGGTAGGTGTGGGCGGCCGGGACGGGAGCTACTGTGGGCGGCAGCTTGCTGCTTAGCCAACAAGCACTTTATATATATACATATGTGTGTGCGTGTGTGTGTGTGTGTGTGTGTGTGTGTGTGTGTGTGTGTGTGTGTGTGTGTGTGTGTGTGTGTGTTGTGTGTGTGTGTGTGTGTGCGTGCGTGCATGTGTGTGTGTGTGTATGTGCATGTGTGTGTGTATGTGTGTATGTGTATGTGTGTGTGTGTGTGTATGTGTGTGTGTGTGTGTGTGTGTGTGTGTGTGCGTGTGTGTGCGTGTGCGTGTGTGTGCGTGTATGCAGCTCATACGTAATCCTTATGCAGTTGGGCAGCAAACATTCCTTGTCTTTTTTGAAGATATACTGAAACAACATTTATGTTACTGTTTGTTAGAGTATGGAGCTTGTGTGATATGTTGTCTCCATATTGGTTGTGGATGTACCTCCTTTCTTATTTCGGTAATAAAACCATCGAAGCATTCAAAAGTGTGCTAATACATGGAAAGCATCGAACAAATGCCAAACGAGTCGGTCACGACGAGCGATGGCCGATGGGTGACGGGCGACGGACGACGACTCGACGACACGAATGACAGCATCCAACTTTTGCCAGGCCAGTTCGCAGGGTCTGCTGTCAGTCGCCTTCTGCCGCTTCGCCATGGCCAGAAGGTCGCGACAGCCTGGTGCTGTCGCTTTGCTGGCACGTCGAGACGAAACTGATGTGACCGCATCTGGCGCATCTGATACATCTGGCATCGTTAATGTACGGTCCAGAGCGGGTGGCGGGCTGGGGGCGGGTCGGGAAGGCACAGAATCCTGTGCGAAGGCGAAGGCGACAGGGCACGATGCGGGGCTTAGCGCGTTTGGATCAGAAACAGACGGAATTTACAGCGCGTCTCCTGTCTCACGTCAGCGTCGTGTGACCGTAGATTCATGGTCACGCGATGCCACGATTGTCGCGTTCGAAACGAACGCAAGTCAATCCAAGTCAGCACCCTTGGGTCGTCGCAGGGGACTGCGAGGAACGACAGCGATGGCAGCGACTCGCCATGTGTCCAGGAGACACCCATGCGACAGCCAGGTGCACGAGGTCACGCGGCGCGCATCACAGCAGCACCACCACGCGGCTTCCACTGCTGTCGACTCGACGCGATCGTCTCACCATAAAGCCCTCCTTCCAATCTCTAATCCCTCAACCACACCTTCACCTCCCATTCTCGCCGATAATCCTTTGAGTCGACTCATAAGTAACCATACTCTGCGATCAACACGCCTGTCAGATCCTACTCGCAGCACTCTATTCCGCCATCACGATGCCTCACACCCGCGCTCCCACCCGCGGTCGCGCTCGCCGTCTCCCGCTCCTCCGCGAGCCGCCAGCACCTCGTGCCTTCGCAGCCGCCGTCCTTGCCGCTGCCGTGGCTCTCCTCGCCGCCGCCGCCCCCGGTGTGGTTGTACAGGGCGCGCCGTTAGGGGGGCCGGCGTGCGTGAACGAGTTTCCCAAGAAGCCGCTGTGCAGGTTCGTGGATGATCTGGCGGCCGCGCCGCGCGTGGAGGTGGACGCGTCCATGGGGAGGACGATCCGCATCGGCGCGTATCAGATCTACCAGGCGAGTCAAACTTGAGAAGCGCGTGTTGTAACGGGTTTGAGACAGTGGGCGAATGAGAGAACGAGTAGCGCTGCTTGTGGGTGCTTTCCTTACTGGCCGCCCTCTTGTCGTTCTCTCACTCTCGCCCGCACTCCCTCATTTAGTATCTCTCTCCCTCCCTCTTCCACAGTTGCCAAGTCTCACCCTCAACTACACTAAACGTCAAAGGGCTCAACACCCTCACTCCCCCATCCACACACTTCTCAACACACTCTGCCATTCACACGCGTATGGGCTGAACGCTCTGCCCTACTCACTCACTTGCTGCCTCTCTCATTCCGCCTACACCCCCGCCCCTCCCCCTCCTCTCGAATGGTCCTTGCATTAATAATGTGGTGGTACACGGGTAGATGCAGACACATGCAAGACAAACAAACATTCTAACTACCACACCTATCTTCTATCCTCTCGCCCTCCTCTCTCACTCTTCCTCCCCTCCCTAACCCAATTCCTCTTCTTTTTTCCACAGAAGATGCACGCCTATGGGGTCAACGCATAAACCCTCTCTTCTTCCCCACTCCGTTCCCACCCTCTCTCCATCCACAGAAGCTGCACCGCGACCTACCTGCCACAAAGCTGTACGCCTATGGGCTCAACGATCTACCTCCCTCCGCCATTCACATTCTCCCCGCCCTTCCACCCCCCACCATTCTCCCCCCTACCCGTCCACAGAAGCTGCACCGCGACCCGCCAGCCACAAAGCTGTACGCCTATGGGCTCAACGAGCGCACTGCTCACTACCCTGGCCCCACTCTCGTCGCCCGACGTGGGATCGCCACCAAGGTACGGAGGGGCGGAGGGTGCTGTATGGAGGGGTGGAGGGTGGTGGTAGGGAGGGATGGAGGGTGGTGGAATGGCATGGAGGGCTGTAGAGTGGCGAGTGGTGCTACAGGGGGCTTGGTTGCGAGTGTACATGGGAGATCGACGCTTTTGGGCCCTGGTTGCGAATGCGTTCCCTGTGTGCGTTCGATTATGTTCCCTGTGTGCATTCAATTATGTTCCCTGTGTGCATTCGATTATGTTCCCTGTGTGCATTCGAATGCACCAGGACCGCTGCAAAACGAGTCTCACCTCCCAGCGATGGTGAGTCGTGCTTGCGTGGCCCCTGCTTCTTCCTCCCCCCCCCTCACAGCCTCCTCTTCTTCCTCTTCTCCCTCCTCTGCCTCTGCTTCTTCCTCTGCTCTTCGTCATACCATCTTTTCTGCTGTCTCTTTCTCTTCCGCTTTCCCTTTCTCCTTCGCTTCATCTTTCTCTTCTTATGCCACTTCTTCCTCTTTCTGGTCCTCCGTCTCAAGTAAAGCGAGCCACGCACCTCCTTGGTTCTTGGCATGCCTCTCATTATTCCGTCCTCACTTCTCCTCTCCCCGTACCGCACAGGTCTGGCCGCACCTAGCGGTGAGGCGCACGAGGTACCGCTTCCGAGTGCTGGGGGCGGCCAGCAGTCGCTTCTTCAATCTGCGCTTCGTGTGTGCCGCCCCTCACAACTACCCCGACTTCACCCCTCCCATCACAGGGGATGTGCTTCCCATCGTGCAGGTGTGTGCTGCGCTATGCTGTGTGCTGCATGGATCATGGGCACATGTATGTGTATTGCTGACATCAACAGCACTCGTGCTGCAGCATCAGCTGTTGCATGTTCGTGGGCGATTTTCGACTCGATTCAAAGCAAATCACCGTGTGTTCTGACTCTGACTCAAAACTCAACAACATCGCTCACGCTGCAGCTCGAGGGCGTCTCCTCTCCACACGTTCCCATCCCTCTGCACCCTCCCTTGTTCCCTTCCCCTGCCAACCCTCCCCTTCCCCTTCTCACCTGCCAACCCTCCCCTTCTCCCTCTTCTCCCCCTTCTGCTCCTCCGTCTCCCTCCCCTCCCGCGCTCACCAGATCGGCACGGACGGAGGCTACCTGCCCCACCCCGTGACCTGCTCCTCCCTCCTACTCGCCCCGGGGGAGCGCCACGACATTCTCGTCGACTTCTCCTCGCTGCCCGCCTCCTGTGCTGACGTCATTCTCACCAACGATGCCCCCGCGCCCTTCCCCTCGGGCGAGGCACCGGGCCGCAACGCCACGGGCGTGGTCATGCGCTTTGTGGTGGACCGCACTGGTGGTGTTGTGCCGTCACCTCCTGTGCCCAAGAAGCTTGTGGTGAGTGTGTGTGCTCTGTGGCAAGGCAGCAGCAGCACGGGTGTGCTGTAGAGTATTTTTCCCGTCCCCTCTTGAACCCCGGAGCTGCCCCTTAGGCTTCTCCCTTTGATACCCTTCCCAGTCCGTATGTGCCCAAGCTGCACCCTCCCAGTCCGTATGTGCCCAAGCTGCACCCTCCCAGTCCGTACGTGCCCAAGCTGCACCCTCCCAGTCCGTACGTGCCCAAGCTGCACCATTCCCAGACGATCCCTCACTTCACCCCTCCCGTGTGCCAGGGACAGTTGAAGGGTGCCACTGAGATCGCACGCATCACTCCAACCGCCCTTTGATGTTCCTTGACGCATCAGCCCCCTCCTTTCTCCCCCCTGCTTCCCACAACCCCGCCCTCGCCTCTCTCCTCCTCCCCACACCCCCCACCTCACCACTTCCTTTCTCGCATCCCCGCTCTCCTCTCTCCTCCCCACATCCCCCATCACCCCTTTCCTCCCCACATCTTCCCTCCCGCTGCGCCAGTCCATTCCCAAGCTCAGTCCCATGTAACCAAGGAGAGGTGGATGACAAGCCTGCCTGTGCGCCTCACTCGTGCTCTCTACTCACACCCCCCTCCCCCCGTGGCAGTCCCTTCCCAAGCTGCGCCTCTCCCGTGTGAGCAAGGAGAGGTGGATGACAGCTGTGGAGGTGTCTTCCCCCCAACGCATCACCTTCGATGGCCGCGGCTTCAGTGACTCGCCCACCGAGACTCCCAAGCGGGTCAGTGTTGCGAGGAGAGGCGCCCGAGATGGTCGAGTGTAGTGATGGAGAGGCACCCGAGCTGGTGAGTGCAGCGGTGGAGAGGCACCCGAGCTTGTGAGTGCAATATACACACCATCAACACCATGCCAGGTCCCCATCTCATCCATCTACGTCTCGTTCGCATTCACCCTATCCCTCCGTCGTTGTCCACTTCCTACACGTCCGTCCATATGTGCCACGTCCGTCCATATGTGCAATGAGCAGAACTCGAAGGAGCTATGGCACATAATCAACGACACACTCGACGCCCACCCCATCGACCTGTTGATGCCCTCTTGTGCATGCTATGTGCCATGTGCCAAATGCCATGTGCTATGTCCGTCCATATGTGCAATGAGCAGAACTCGGAGGAGCTATGGCACATAATCAACGACACGCCAGACGCCCATCCCATCCACCTGCATCTCATCATGCACCGCCCCCTCGCCCGCCGCCCCTTCAACCGCACCGCCTACTGCAACAGCCAGTGCGCCTTTCCTGGCAACTCCTCCGCCAACTCCTCCCTGCCCACCTGCTTCACGGGGGAGGGGAGCAGCGTGAGAGTGAGTGGGAGGGCGGGCAGCGTGGGGGAGTACGAGCGCGGGTGGAAGGACACCACTGTGCTGCAGCGGGACGAGGTGCTCACCCTCTGGACCGGCTGTTTCTCCCAGGTGAGGCTCTCGCCCACTCCTGCCTTCCACTGTTCCAGAGGCGTTATTTACAACTGTTTTATTTCGATTTGGTCAGAGATTACTGTAAATTGAATGGAGTGGGGTGGTTACCCCAACTCCAAGGCCTGGAGTGTACTGATGTATGTGTGGGTCGCTTGTGTGTGGGTGTGGTGCATGCAGGACGGGTCGCCGTTCCCCTTCAACCCCACGCGTGGCCCAGGGTACGTGTGGCACTGCCACATCCTGGAGCACGAGGACAATGACATGATGCGCCCCCTCATTGTCACGTAGCGAGCATGGAGAGCACCGGGACCATGGCGTGTGGTTGGTATGGGTGTAGAGCACAGCTGCGTGCATGGTGCGTGGAAATAACGTGGCCAGGGGTGCGTGTGCTGCACTGTCACGTTCTGGAGCATGAGGACAACGACATGATGCGCCCGCTCATTGTCACGTAGCGAGCATGGAGAGCATGGCGTGTGGATGGTATGGGTGTATAGAGCACAGCAGCGTGCATGGTGCGTGGGAATAATGCTGTCCGGGGTACGTGTGGCACTGCCACATTCTGGGGCACGATGACAATTAGATGATGCGCCCCCTTGTTGTCAAGTAGAGAGCATAGAGATAATAATGCGTACGTGGGTGTAGAGAGCACAGTTGCGTGCATGGGTGTGTGAATAATGTGGCCAGTGCTGTGTGTAATGTTGGGGTGAAAATGTTAGAATATGGAACGAATGAAATGAAACAGAAAAGGAAGGGTTTCACTAGCAGGCAGTTGAGTACATATAGCAAACCCTAAATCGGGCTGTACTCGCTATTGAGTACCCCACTGCAGGCTAGACAAATATAACATTCTGACACACCCCCATAGCTAAAGTGGGGTGTAATCAGCACAACAAGCAAAGCAAAACAAGCTCAGGGTGGATCACGATGTCACCACACATTCTGAGCACAAGAACAAGAAGTGTAACACTTTTTCAAATTTCGTATTGTGAAAGCGAGGGCGTGGCCAGCAAAGCAAAGGTAGCGGCTCGACGCTACTCACCCCTCTTTTGCCTACAAAAGAGGAACGTGATTCCAGTAGCTCCACCCACGTTCTTCATTTCCATTTTCTAGTTTTACTTTACCCACCACCCACCCCGTTGTGTATCATTGATGAACGAGAACGTTGTACTTGCCCACTTGGAATGAAGCACGCTGCCTTTGCAAGATGGACTAAGCAAGCTTTCACAATGCAAAGCTAGAGGCAGTCACAGACGGTAAGTGAGGAGGAGGGACTGTGAGAGGAGTGGAGATAGGAGACGACGGGTGAAGCTGCAGAAACACGGGCAACAGGAGCGGCGCGCACTGTGGCTACCGGAGATTGTAGCCTCCGGACAACTGGAGTAACTGGCTCTGCGGCTAACTCTGAGCGGCAGGAGCAACGGACCCACGGGCGACTGGCGTTGCAGGCTCGCTGGGCTACCGGAGATTGTAGCCTTCGGACTACTGGTGCCCCATTTCACCTAAGCCATCAATTCGATGCCGTGATCCACGTCGACGCGAGCGCTCACAGCTGGGGCGCCACCCTCACCAAGTTTACCGACGCGTCGTATGAGGCAAGCGCCAGCATGCCGAGCGAGCTCCTCCCAACCTCAAGCACTCAAAGGGAGCTCGAGGGAGTCCTCTGGGCGCTAGAGACGTTCGCGTCTCACATCAAAAGCGGCCACGTTTTGGTTCGCGTGGACAACCAAGGAGTCGTGTTTATCTTGCGCAAAGGGGGGTCCAGCCAACCTCGGCTGACACTGACATGTCAAGCAGTCATACAGTTCTGCCTCAAGAACCATACACGCCTGGCAATCGAATGGATCCCACATGAGCTAAATGCCCACGCGGACGAACTGTCTAAAATCCAAGACCACGACGACTACTCGCTGCACATGCCATGGTTCCTCCTACTGGAACGCCGATGGGGTCCCCACACGATTGACCTCTTCGCGAACATTACCAACAAGAAGCTGCCACGATTTTGCTCCAAGATACCGCACCCAAGCGCCACAGCAATTGACGCGTTCTCGATCTCGTGGAAAGGCGAGCGCTGCTTCACCTTTCCGCCCCCCGGCTTGATCCCGGCCACACTCTCTCACACCAGGCGCAGACAAGCCGAGTTGACACTCGTCGTCCCCAAGTGGCCGGGAGCAGCATGGTGGCCGTTGCTACAACCCTCCCCACAGAAATGGGCCCCAGAAGTGATCGCATGCTTGCCCCTCGCGCAAGGAAGTCAGTGCCTTTGACCTGGCACGCACGCAACAACATTTTCCGGACTCGGCCTACCGCATAGCCCAATCATTGCCCTGCATGTAAAATATCATATGTAACTAATATTCGAATGGTAATTCTTTCAAGATTGTTGACCAAGCTTCAAAACCAACTGTTACAAGTTATAAATGATGTTCGCGCACCATCCACGATCGAGACGTATCAACCTTACTGGCTCAAATTTCGCAACTTCTGCACTCGAGTCAAGTTAGCATTCCTGCCAGCGACGGACCTCACGCTGGCACTCTACCTAGTCCACGCGCTGTACACCAAGGCAACGGTGTCAGCGATCAAACTCACGTGCTCCGCCGTGGCCTTCGCCCATCGGATGACCGGCGAGGCATCCCCAAGAACGGCCCGTTCACGCTGCAAGTACGGGAGTTTGCTAAGCGACATGGCCTACGCTCGACTAGGACCAAGGAACCCGTGTCACTCCATCAAGTGCACAACATGGCACGACCCTTCCTAGAATCAACAGTGCCGGCGGAATATCAGAAAGGCTTGATACCTCTCTTGATGTTCGCAGCATTCCTGCGCTACTCCGACCCGATCTCCCTCCAATGGAACGACATCCAGTTTGAAGGGGCGGCCATGTGGCTACTGATCCCATACTCCAAGACGGACCAAGAAGGCAAGGGCACGTGGATCCCGGTCGCAGCGTCAGCAGGGCCCTACTGCGCAGTGAGATGCACACGGGAGTTCATTCGCATCGCAGGCCTTACAAACATGCCACACGGACCTCTGATCCGGGTTTTCAACAAAAGGGCACAAGCCTCGCCGCACGACAAATCGCCTCATATCCAACCATCCGGAGCTGGTGCCTCGAGGCTTGCAGGAAGGCGGGACTCGATGCCACGCACATCGGAACACACTCATTCCGCAAGGGCGCAGCAACAGCAGCAGCAGCTTTAGGCATCCCCGACCGGCTCTTCAAACGAATGGGGCGCTGGTGAAGCGACGGCGCGAAGGACCTATACGTCACCATTGCCCAAGACCAACTCATCGACCTCTCCACCCAGCTGCAGGACACCTCAGCAGCCCCATCGCCTGCTAGGCACCAGCAATCGTTGGAGATGCACCGCCGACCCAAAATGCACTTGCCTCAGAAGACCCACTTGGAATGAAGCACGCTGCCTTTGCAAGATGGACTAAGCAAGCTTTCACAATATTATAATTTGTAAAAGTGTAACACTTTTTCAAATTTCGTATTGTGAAAGCGAGGGCGTGGCCAGCAAAGCAAAGGTAGCGGCTCGACGCTACTCACCCCTCTTTTGCCTACAAAAGAGGAACGTGATTCCAGTAGCTCCACCCACGTTCTTCATTTCCATTTTCTAGTTTTACTTTCCCACCACCCACCCCATTGTGTATCATTGATGAACGAGAACGTTGTACTTGCCCACTTGGAATGAAGCACGCTGCCTTTGCAAGATGGACTAAGCAAGCTTTCACAATGCAAAGCTAGAGGCAGTCACAGACGGTAAGTGAGGAGGAGGAGGGACTGTGAGAGGAGTGGAGATAGGAGACGACGGGTGAAGCTGCAGAAACACAGGCAACCGGAGCGGCGCGCACTGTGGCTACCAAAGATTGTAGCCTCCGGACTACTGGAGTAACTGGCTCTGCGGCTAACTCTGAGCGGCAGGAGCAACGGACCCACGGGCGACTGGCGCAGCAGGCTCGCTGGGCTACCGGAGATTGTAGCCTTCGGACTACTGGCGCTGCTGGCGACACAACGGCAGCCTCCGCCGAACCTCCCTCTAACTGTCTCACCCCCCCTTTTCACACACCCCCTGCTGCACCTCTAACACTGCTCACACGCCACCCCCGTAGTACTACTCCGACAGCTCCCACACATCCACCCCCCTCAGCGGCAGCTGCAGCAGTGGGAGACAGAGTAGGAGGAGGAGTAGGGGAGGCCGCACACACCAGGCACCCCCATACTCGCCACCCCCAAGCCCTAACACAGGCAGCACGGGGTGGGAGCGGAACGTAGGGGCCGAACGGGGGCTGCAGGGGCGGCTCGCGGGGGGGGGGGGGGGGGGGGGCAGGAGCTGGTCGCGAGCTGCAGAAGGGGCAGCGCCGGCCCCCGAGGGCGCCACGTCGGGCGACAGGGGTGGGGGGGGGGCGCGCAGGCACCCGAGGGCGCCACGACGGGCGTCAGGAGGGGGCCGCGCGCGGCCCCCAAGGTCCCCTCGACGGGCGACGGGGGGGGGGCGACGCACGGCCCCCCAGGTCGCCTCGACAGGCGACGGGGGGGGGGGGGGCGACGCGTGGCCCCCCAGGGCGCCGCGGCGTGCTATGGGGGGGCGACGCGCGCCCCCCCAAGTCGCTGCGACGGGCGACGGGGGGGGGGGACGCGTGGCCCCCTAGGGCGCCGCGTCGGGCTACGGGATGGGGGGGGGGGCAACGCGCGGGCCCCCCAGGGCTCCGCGACGGGCGACGGGCAGGGCAGCACGCGGGCCCCCAGGGCGCAGCGTTAGACAGCAAACCGCCGCGCGCCTCAGGGCGCACGGCGGGCAGAAAACCGCCGCGCGCCTCGGGGCGCACGGCGGGCAGAAAACCGCCGCGCGCCTCGGGGCGCACGGCGGGCAGTGGCGGGAAGAAAAAACGTCGCGCACCAGGGGGCGCGCGACAGACAGGACAGCAGCGGAAGCAGGTGGGCCCAGGCACAGGATCGACCCGTGAGGGTCGACCTGCTCTGATTCCATGTTAGAATATGGAACGAATGAAATGAAACAGAAAAGGAAGGGTTTCACTAGCATGCAGTTGAGTACATATAGCAAACCCTAAATCGGGCTGTACTCACTATTGAGTACCCCACTGCAGGCTAGACAAATATAACATTCTGACAGAAAATGCATTTGGGGCTAATCCTACGTAAAATATATTTTGCTGCTGCGTGCAGGGCCTATGTTTGGTTTTTGGTTACTCACGATTAGCAGTGTAGCCTTTTTCAAAACCCTTCTGATCAGTGTGTAAATTTTTGTTACATTGATACA